TCACACACACTCACTCACTCTCACTCACTCTCTCACACACACTCACTCACTCTCACTCACTCTCTCACACACACTCACTCACTCTCACTCACTCTCTCACACACACTCACTCACTCTCACTCACTCTCTCACACACACTCACTCACTCTCACTCACTCTCTCACACACACTCACTCACTCTCACTCACTCTCTCACACACACTCACTCACTCTCACTCACTCTCTCACACACACTCACTCACTCTCACTCACTCTCTCACACACACTCACTCACTCTCACTCACTCTCTCACACACACTCACTCACTCTCACTCACTCTCTCACACACACTCACTCACTCTCACTCACTCGCACGCACGCACGCACGCACGCACTCACTCACTCACTCACTCACTCACTCACACACTCTCGCACACACACACACACTCACACACACACACACACACTCTCACACACACACACAGGCTCTCACACACTCACACACACACACGTCTGTCACTGTGGGTGAAACAGCTGAGATTTATGATGTGTGTGTGTGACAGGTACAGTGTGTTTAAGATCCACTGGCTGATGGCGGCGCTGGCATACACTAAAGCTGTGTCTCTGCTGTTTCACAGCGTGAGTAAAACACTCTGATCACACTCACACAGCATCCATCACTTACTCTCATAGTAATATTTTAAATTAGAATTAATTTTTATATTTTGCTTTTAGCTAAAGGTTTAGTCATTTTGTTGGGTGTTTTTATTTTTTTATTAGCTATTAAACTTTACAATAAGGTTTAATTTGTTAATTTTAGTTTACTACAATTAGTTAACTACATTAGTTAACATAAACTAATATGTATATATATGTATATATATATATATGAAAAAAAATTCAAAGGTATTTTCATGCTCATTTCAATTAAAGTTATTTGTTAATTTCAAAATGTACTAATACATTATTAAAATCAGAAGTTAAAATCATTAAATCAAAAGCTAAAATTAACATCTGTATTTTAATTAATAAACATAAAAGATATTTATAAATACTTCAACAGTTCTATTAATTGTTGTTATTTAATGTTAGATAATGCGTTTTGGGATAGGACGATTACCATATTTTAAATTCCCATTACCTTTTCTTAAGTATGTTCTAAGAAAACGTAATAACGTAAACTTAAGAACTTGAATTCCTGAAAAGAATGTTCTTAAAAAATCTTCATAAATAACTTGTTAAATTTAACCTTAAACTTGTCTTAAGATGCTCTCTAGAAAATATTTGAGAACTTATTTTTTCCCCAAAATTTGGGAATTTTTCAAGAATTGCAATACGGCATACTTACCAACAACTTGGAATTTATCCTAAGTCATTTTTTTAAGATGTTTGTTCAGTGACGCTCTTGATAGTACTAATACATTATTAAAATCAGAAGTTAAAATCATTAAATCAAAAGCTAAAATTAACATCTGTATTTTAATTAATAAACATAAAAGATATTTATAAATACTTCAACAGTTCTATTAATTGTTGTTATTTAATGTTAGATAATGCGTTTTGGGATAGGACGATTACCATATTTTAAATTCCCATTACCTTTTCTTAAGTATGTTCTAAGAAAACGTAATAACGTAAACTTAAGAACTTGAATTCCTGAAAAGAATGTTCTTAAAAAATCTTCATAAATAACTTGTTAAATTTAACCTTAAACTTGTCTTAAGATGCTCTCTAGAAAATATTTGAGAACTTCTTTTTTCCCCAAAATTTGGGAATTTTTCAAGAATTGCAATACGGCATACTTACCAACAACTTGGAATTTATCCTGTCATTTTTTTAAGATGTTTGTTCAGTGACGCTCTTGATACTCCATTTATATATATATTTAAATCCATGTTTTCCACTAAAGGAATACAAGGAATCATTTTTGCATATAGGAACCAGTATAACAAAGCATAGTAATAAACAGCAATGTTTACTTCCATGTGTACATGTACTTAGATGTGTATATGTACTTAGATATATGTTTTTAGATATGACTATAAAATAGAAATATGAACTATGTTTGTACAGAGGAGACTTGATGCATGTTCGTGGTGTTATTGTGATCGACGACTCGTCACGAGTGTTTGTTTGTCTTCCTCTCAGATCAACTATCACTTCATTAACTCTGAAGGTCATCCTATTGAAGGCTGGGCCGTCATGTACTACATCACACACCTGTGCGTATCACACCTCTACTTTCCTTCTGTTTCTCGTGCTTAGAGATCGACGAGTGTGATCGATATTTTTCAGTGTGGATGCTGTCAGAATCAGAGTGTTAAATATCTGGCATGAGAGTGTAATGTTTGTGTGTCAGGCTGAAGGGGGCTCTGCTGTTCATCACGCTGGCTCTCATCGGCACCGGCTTTGCCTTCGTTAAATACATCCTGTCGGACAAAGAGAAGAAGATCTTCATGATCGTTATTCCTCTGCAGGTGTGTGTGTGTGTGTGTTTGAACACGTCTCCCACGTGTTTCTGATGTGATATCCACGACTGATGCCGGTTTGTTACAGGTTCTGGCTAACGTGTCCTATATCATCATCGAGGAGACGGAGGAGGGCACGAGTGAATACGCTCTCTGGAGGGAGATCCTGTTCCTGGTGGATCTCCTCTGCTGCGGAGCCGTCCTGTTCCCTGTCGTCTGGTGCGTTTCTGTGCGTCAGACTCTGGGTGTGCTGATATTTACGGTTATTTGATGCGTTTGTCTGTGTGTTTCTGTGTCTAACAGGTCCATCCGACACCTGCAGGAGGCTTCAAACACGGATGGCAAAGGTGTGTATGACAGGAACTGTGTGTGTGTGTGTGTGTGTGTCTAAACCTGGAACACTGTGTACAGGCCGTAACGATAACCGTACGGTTTCAATAACTGATCTAACTCTAATAGCAGAGTTCATGACGCAACTAAAACAACAACGACATTTCATCGGAATCATTTTCAGGACATTTATTTTAAAAAGACAAACAATGTGTTTAGAATAAACAGAACATTATCGTTGGTTGGTGTGGACGCTGATAGTTATTGCTATAATTATTATTATCGCTATCGTTAAAGTTGTTATTATATTACAGTTATCATCATGGATACTATAGGTATCAGTATAATTATCTTTTACCGTTATTTCTTATTGCTTATATTGAAGTTATTGCTATGGTTATCGCTATAGTTGTTATAGGAATCATAATTACTGTTACAGTTGTCGTTATACTTACTGTTACAATTACAGTTAGTTATCACTATAATTATCATTATAGTAATCGGTATAGCTATCAGTAAAATTATCTTTGTAGTTATTGTTATAGTTCTCATTAGTTATTATAGTTATTGTATCTTTATAGTTATCAGTTTAGCTATCTCTATAGTTAATCTTGGCTATCGTTGTAGTTATCGGTGTAATTATCTATAGTTATCGGCAGCTATCGTTACAGTTATCGGTGTAATTATCCTTATAGTTATCGGTATAGTTATCATCAGTTATCGGTGTAATTATCTTAATAGTTATCTTTAGTTATCGGTGTAGTTATTGATACCGATATTGTTCTTGTTTGTTTGTGTGTATATATATTTGTGTATTTGTTTCTAAATGCACACTACTTGTGTGCGTTCTCGTGCAGCTGCCATGAACCTGGAGAAGTTAAAGCTCTTCAGACATTATTATGTGATGGTGAGATTCATCTTTACTCACATCTACAACATCATTTAATAAGATCATTTCTCTAAGGCGGACAACTAAAAAGCTGTTTCTCTGTCCTCAGATCGTGTGTTATATCTACTTCACGCGGATCATCGCGATACTGCTGAAGTTCACTGTGCCGTTCCAGTGGCAGTGGTGTCAGGAGGTAAGGAGCAACCCTGCTTCAGAATAACATAACATAAGCTACGTAGTTAGCGTTTGTAGCACAGAAAATCATTCCGATTCAGCCCTAACCAGATCTTTCGTCTTTTCTCTCCTTGTGTTGCAGTTTTTAGTGGAGGTTTCTACTCTGATCTTCTTCGTCTTGACTGGATTCAAGTTCCGTCCGGCATCAAATAACCCGTATCTACAGCTGCCTCAGGACGAGGAGGACCTGGAGATGGATGAAGTGTAGGTCTCTCTCTCTCTCTCTTTCTCTCTCTCTCTGTGAGAGTTTCAGTGTGTGATATCGTTTCTCTCGCACACAGTATAACGGAATCCGGAGCGCTGGAGGGCATCCACAAGGTGAAGAAAACGTCTAACGGCCGAGAGAGACAGAGGGAGGTTGCATTGTGAGTATCATATCAAAGAGGGCGGAGCCTGGACTCTCAAACCCCTCCCCTTCCTGAGGTTGCTGTCATGGTGCCCACAGACTCACTATGCAAGTGAAAAAAGACGGAATGGAAAAAAACGTGTGAGAATAAAGCGCAGCAGACACCATTTCCGTGAGAGAATGAGCTGATTTTTCCATACAGACTCTGGGATAACGGTAACACGGACTGAATCTCTTGCTTTGGTTTACAGTAATGATGTGGTCACTCTGCTCTATCCGTTAATTTGTTCGCTCATTTATTCCTTCATTCCAAAGATGTACAATCATTATAGTGGATGTGTGCAAATAATTTGATTTGTTTGATTTTAGCCTTCTTTTATTTCCTAATATCTTTATTTAACCGAAGCAGTTTGATGCTATTGTTTGTATATCATGGTTTTTCTGTTCATTTTTGATTCGACGGCTGGAAGCGATTCCACAAAACTAGCGTAAATAAGGCGCGCTGGAATAGATGCTTCTTCAGAAGATTTTCTGGTGTTATATATTTCTTTAAAGGACGCCGGGTCCATGACTGTTAATGTGTATATTCTGTCCTGGATGAAGCTGAATGTTCCCGAGAGGTTCCTAAAACAACGTTCAGTTGTGCGACATAACAAATAACGATTTTTGTCATTTTCTTCTTTGGAAAAGGTTGTGCTTTATTTAGTTATATTTTACTCATGGCTTCATCTACCCTGTGATTGACCCTCCTTTATTTAACGACACAAATATTGGTATACAGTTATAAATGAAGGATTAACCGCATTTACACCGCGAATTACTACGAACGCGACAACTGCATCGCTGCCGTTAAAACCGACGGTCTCCACTGAAAGCGCGGGAAGCTTCCGGCATTCAAATGGCATAGTTTGATCGCAGTTTAGACTTCTCCAGTTTTTCCCGCGCAATGCTTCTAAACTGGCTTAAATTTCCACAAACTGTCACAGAAATAAGCTTTTCCTGCTTGATTTATGTCGCTGGTTTATCATGCTAATTGTGTTCAAGTTTGAAATAAATCAAATGACTTAAATATTGACTCGTTTCTTTGGTTTGTTATGTGAGGAAAGAGAAAAGAGTTTGTCTTTACCATAGTTATTGTTCTCGGTGCGGATGGGCCTTTTACCTGAGTTTTACAGTAATTAACAATGGCTTTGCATGCAGCTCATGCAGGACCTGATGTGAATCACTCAAACTTACTTCATTCTGAAATCAGCAGCGGCTAGTGAACACACATCATGTCAGGTACATAGCAACTTATTTTAATACTCTTTACTGCTATTTGCTATTGATATTCTGTATATTTCTTTTTTGTGTCATTGTTTTGTGTAGCTATAATACTATATTTCATGTATATGGCAATATTATATGTGAAAACAATCATGCCAGTGAAGCATTTTTAGAATTGAACATTGAAGCTCATGCACCCGAGTGATCCAGCGGCTTTATCTTGCAGCGGAGGCACCGTTGTGCATAGTGTAGGACACTGGAGACGAGTTTTATAGCCAGTCTTCATGTGCGTCACGTCAGTCACTCGGTGATGGGCTCCTGGGACAGAACGGTTTCTAGAAATAATGACATGCAAATATGAAAAAAAAGTACTTTGATGAAGGACCATGAGAAAAGCAAGGAAGAGCTGAATTCACAAAACTACACGATTTAAACATGCAGTGTGAGAAACACTGATACAGTGCAAACATGATGTTTTCTCAGGTAAAGCCACTTGCGGTGTCATGTCTTGCGGTTTAGTCAGGTACTGACCGTGCAGAACTTTGTTGGTTTTTGAAGAAGAACCTCAATTAGATATAGTTTTATTTTATAAAAGGCCTCATCATTCAGGTGCTGAAATAATATCTCTTGATGTCTGAGAGTCTCAGGCGCACAGGAGCCTCGAGCACAAACACTCTTCAGTGTTTCTCATCATCTCCCTCTTCATCTGCTCATTAAACTGGTGAATTAACCATTGCTGTGAGGATTAAACAAAACGATGTAAATGCTCGGTGTGTGTGAACCGTGTGCACAGGCTCATCTGCACAGGCACACACGCACAGGCACACACACACACACACACACACACACACACACATATATATATATATATACACAGTATATATGCCCTCCATAATATGTATATGTTGTCTGAGCACTTTTTGCGAAATTCATTTGGTGTCAGATAGAGATGAAATGTTAGAAAAAAAATTATTTTATTGACCTACATGTTCATCACAAAAAGTCATCATCATCACATAGCAGGAAAAAACACAAGGATGATGACAAAACTCACATTAGAAAGAAAGTATCCCAGAAGCCCTTCTCACACACACAGAGAGCAGGAAGTGATGAGACACATTTACACTCACTTTCAGAACAGAACAATCTGCCACTGCAACAGTAACAGTGCTGTGGTGACGGTAAAGCCATGAATCCTTCATATATGATCCTTAAAGTTTTACCATAAACAGTATTACATTGCTTTTCCTCATCCAACCCATCAGTCCTGAAACACACACACACACACACACACACACACACATGAAGGGAATGTCTACACACATACAGCACATGAGCCACCAACACTGATGCTTATGATGGAGGTTCAATGGTTTTTTAATACTGGATCGTGACTCACTGATCCATATTCAGCTGACAAACTCTGTTCAACAGCGTCCAGACATCTGCTCACACACATGATGCCTCACAGTCGTTGGACAGCTGGAGATCCATCAGGAGGAAAGCGAGAATCATTTACTCCACAGATTCTTGAAGAACGGAAAGGCTGATGAAATATTATAAAAGAGAGTATGTGTTCACAGCAGGAAATCTCCTAAAATCATCTAGCCAGACGGAGACTAGATAGTGAAACCCAGCAGTGATTCTCACCAAAACTACAGCACTGGTAGACTGAGATTCAAAGGTTTGTATTTATTAGGGTAGAGAATATAGATCATAAGAATCAGAGAAACGCTTCAAGTGCTCAGTTGGTTTGTGGTCAGAGTTTGTGGTGTGTGCTGGTAAGATTTTTATTTAGAGGACTGGCACATATAGTGGATTTATTTGAGTAGGGCAGGAGGGTTTATTATTGGTTGGAGGAGCTTATTCCAGAGAGAGTAGCTTACCTTGGAAGGTGTGGTTCTTTTGAGTGGGCGGGGTTACTTGTGTGGGTAGGAGGGGCTTAGTAGGAATGGTTTCTTTGAGTGGGCGGAGTCCACTCCAGTTTATTCCAGTAGGAGTGGCTTATTTTGAGTAGGCAGAGTCTATTTAGGTGTGGCTACTTTTTTAGGCGTACCATGTTTCTTAGTGTGCCAGAGATGGGCGGGGATAGTGAAAGCGTCGACGCTCATGCTCAGGGTACGAGATGGAAGTGTATTGAACTGTTTCCCGTCTGAGCTGTATTTATAAATGGCCTCCACGTCTGACGAGGAAATGGCACGCGGGCCGACGCCACAGAGTCGGTGCAGCTCCTCCGATTGGCCGTCTCGAGTGTAGATAGCACGGAACTGACAGTTGGAATCACGCAGGAGAATCAGGAAGTGACTGGTGGAGCTCTTCTCCACCTCCTAGACAGACGGGGAGACTGTGAATGTCAGAATGTGAACGTGCATAAAGGGAGTAATGTCTGTGTAGAAAGATAAACAGTGACGCACATCTATGATCTTGTTTTTCTGGGATTCATTGACTTTGCCAGCAAGGCAGCAGTGTGAGAGCGCGTTGTGAATGATGAACTTATTTAAACTGGGTTCCTTAAATAATTTAGGACCTGAAACAGAAGATAAAAGTAAGTAAGTGTGAGTAAACAGGCAACTGGAAAACCACACAGATCAAATGAGGTACTGGCTACAGCCAACAGGTGGTGCTATTTCTACATCTTTTCAAATCAGGTCAAACCACTTGATTTGAATTCATACTCAGCTGTTCTACACAGTGCAGTTAAAACTCTAAAGGGTGTTATTATGATTACCAACCTCTCAGAAAACCTTCAGTCACACTCTAGCAACCACCCTGAAGATTCTAGAAATTGCTCAGGACAGCCCAGCTACCTGCTAGCAGAAGACCTCACCTACATTCCAGTAACCACCCATAACATCCTATAAGCCAACTAGCAATCATTCTCAACAGCCTAGCAACCACTTAGCAATGTTCCTGCAAACAAAAGACCACATTAGCAACTGCTAAGCAGTGTCCTAGCAACCACTGAGGAAACCTTATTTAACCTTACAGGTACAACTCAGAAATCACCCAGAACATCATAGGAGGTGCCTAGCAATCATTCAAAACCATTCAAGACCACCTTAGCAACAGTCTAGCACCGCACAAAACATCCTAGCAACCACTCAGAGCAAATTAGCAACCATATACAGAATGACATAAGTAGCTTTAAAATTTCAAACTAACCCTAACTCTTTTCAAACATAGAAATTTATCTTAAATATCAACAATCAGCTCTTTACCTGTGTATTCTGAGGGTGAGGCTGGAGAGGAGGCGTTGGAGACATGTTCCCAGTCTTTTTCCCCATTCTGATTGGCCAGTTGCCCTGATGACATCACCTTTGAGGGCGACTCTGAACGACTGAGTTGTAGAGTGAGAGAGGAAGCTTTTAAGTAAAGACAAAGATGTATGAAAGGCAGAAGACAGAAACGTGGCTAAGCAGCTGGGTAGAGTACCTTGCTGGCTTTTCTAAAGTGACGTGACATGTGGCCAAGTATGGTGACCCATACTCGGAATTAGTGCTATGCATTTATCCCATCCGAAGTGCACACACACAGCAGTGAACACACACACCGTGAACACACACCCGGAGCAGTGGGCAGCCATTTTTTCTGCTGCGGCGCCCGGGGAGCAGTTGGGGGTTCGGTGCCTTGCTCAAGGGCACCTCAGTCGTGGTATTGAAGGTGGGAGAGAGCGCTGTACATTCACTCCCCCCACCTACAATCCCTGCCGGTACGAGACTCGAACCCGCAACCTTCGGGTTACGAGTCCGACTCTCTAACCATTAGGCCATGACTTCAGTTGGTAGAGATGCGCCATCTTTCTGGCTAGAGACAACTGTGTGACAGATAGCTGTGTGACAGATAGCAATTCTGTTTAGTGACGCTAGTAGTTACCCAGTTCACATTTAAGTACAAGTAATGTGTGATTACCTGTTCTGTTTTTCCCCTGTGAGCATGTGTGAGTAAGCTCATGGTTGTTGTGCATGTTGTTTTTTGCCACTGTGCTTTGCTGGTTTCTGTTTGAGGACTTTCTCTAGATCAGCCATTATCTTCAGCTGCTGACGCCTTTCATACTCTGCCCTGGTGAACGCTCCTCGCCGCAGGGGCGTTCCTGGGGGTGTGGCTTTTGACAGAGGGGGTGGGGTGTATGAGGTTGGCAGTGACTGTGAAAGCAGCTGAGTTTGAGAAGGTCGCAAGTCATCCAGGGAAGCCTGTTGACTGTTGGAGAAAGCAGAGATCAGTAAGTTCTGAATGAAGATCCTGAATGAACGGGTTTGGACAAGTAGATGTTCTTACCTGTTCTCAGGGTCTTGCCCATGTTTTGCACGTTTCTTGATCTCTTGAGCTTGTCTTTGCTGCCGCTCCAACAGCAGAGCCCTTTTTTGGGCCATCTCCTCCTCCGAGAGACCCTCCTCCTGAACACCCACAAAGACACACATTACAGACACCTTAGACATGCACAATCAACCAAAGCGCAAGCAGACCGTCACAAACCTTGAAGAACACATC